TTAAGGGGTACTGAAATCTTTCTTTTGATATTTAGTGCTTGAATGGAGACTTGTTTCCACTCCCCGCATTCTAGTAGAATTTAAATATTTGATTCAAAGGAGTTATTTTAAATCAAACTTGCATTCCGATTAATTAACACTCCAATGATTGTACCGCTTCACTATTGTCTAAGATAATTATAATGAATTCACGGGACACTATAGTCTTCCTTTTAAACTTTAGTGGTTGGATGGAGACTTGTTTCCCTACCCCGTACACTAGTAAATTTGTAAATTTTAAATATTTGATTTAGGGAGGTATTTGCAATCCAACTCTGATGATGCAAGACTAGTCAGCCAAGACTAAATTATTAACTTATTATCATTTAGACTATTGAGTTCATTAAATTATAATTCCATAGATATCATATTCAATCCTGTCAACACAATAATGGTATTAATTGGCATGATATGTAGTCAGAGACGGTTTAAAAAGTTGTTTAGATTAATGATAGTATTAGGAAAAATCCTAACTCAAAGTTTTTGTTCTCTCGCAATCCAGAGCAAACCACTCGCCGGGCAAGCATTCTTTAAAAACGTGAAGTTTTCACCATGTTGAGCAGTTTTGAAAATTGTCCAATTTGAACCATCGCCTTGTATATTTCTGTAACTGCCCCCCCCCCTTGACACTCGAGTGTAAGAATCCTTTCCACACTGTCAATGGTTTTACAAAATAGTTCATGTCAGGAAGGGGGAGGGGTGGGTGTGGAGAACAATCACTGACTGCGATTTGTATGATTGAACATTATACATTTATCATAAATTCGTAAAGAATAGTTTTAAAATAAACAGCTTGTTTTATGTTATGATTGGAGTGATGTATGCATAGAAGAATGACACTGGTTTTGAAATATCTTAATTATCCCATTGAATGAAACCATCCGTCCCTCTGTCCATTCTTAACTCATACTAGTGGACTGATTTGATTTAAAGGAGAAGTCTCGGTGTAGAACGTGTACACACTAATGGGAACGAATTTTACTCATTTCTATTTAGGATTCGTTCATATACTAGCGGGGCTTTAGAGCATTTACAAACGCACGAATTGTATTGTTTTAAGGCAACTTTTATGACATATAATCATTATATTTAAAGCTGATTAATTTTAGATTATATTCGGTTCAATTTTACAAATAATGAATAGTATTACAGTATATCGAAAAATGTACAATGATTTACATTAAATTGCGCAGACTGCAAACAATGTACATGGTTGGCGAATTTGCATGCGCGTTCTTGATAATAAGAATTAAAGGTTGAACTTAAAAATCAAACATTTTCTTTTTTAAACATAATAAATCTTTAAATCAAGAAAATAAAAATAAGATTGATGATTGAACTTTTCATAGTCAACTGCGACTGTGTCGACGCATGTTTATTTACTTAGCTAATTAGATATGTAAAATTGTTAATGGCCGCAACGGATAATACGTACATGTAAGCTGTTCGGATAAGACATTTCTATATGATTAATAACAAATCCCGGGCAGAATGTTATTCAACAGTAACTGATCTTATTAGTTATTATTCAATTTGGATAATAAATCTATTATCTCGTCGTATTGATGTTTATTATATAGTGTTTCTCATTGTGTTAGATTCAGGTATTTATAGAGACGCATGCTTCCTATAGCATCCTGGGATTAGTAACTTAGGATATGCGATCGGGTTATTGTTTCGGGAGTGACTACTAGAGGATAAGGGGAATTGGGATCCTTATGGGAGATGAAAATGGAAATAAAACTTTAGACAAAAATTAAATACTGCCAAAATCCATTCATAAAATGCATTACAATATTCTCTCTAAATGAAATACTGCTTTTCACAATGATGATTTAATCCAAAACCCAGATTATTTTGAGTGATATGTTTTATTCCTGAGTTGACCTTAAATATTTCATACCTAAGAGGCAAAATGATCTGGTATTAGGTTTTGATCACACGTTGATTTTCAATAATTCATAAAATTAAAACATGTCATTCAAGTTTACAAAATGGCTGTACATATACGATATCAGCCGTATGAGTAGCACACGAGAATATCAGAAACATCAATGGGTGTTATTGTACAGATTACACAATAATCGTTGGATAAAGTTAAGTATTAACGCATATAGACGGATATGACAATTGTCAAGTGTGATCATCCGTTATATGAGTTATATAAAGGTCGGTTTCCATTTTTGAGTATAATTGAATATAACAATTGCTAATAATCATTTCCAATACGAGAAGCCATTCACCAAACGGGATTGCTCATCTCTCGTACTATGCTGTTTTTGCATTCTGTCTCAAATAAGATAAATCTAAAGCTTACTTAATTGAACAAATAAAACGCACATTCAGATTTATCAATTATCACATATAATATCTTTTTATTCAAAATTCTATTCTACATATACTACAACTGTTATTTAATTACATCCGGACAATACTACATGTCATGTTGATGATATTCTGTAACAATTAATTATCTGTGTAGCCTCATCGGAGCTACTTCAATCGAACTACACTGTACTCTTCAAACTAGGATCCGTTTCGGTAACAAAATATCGTCATGTCATCTCGAAGTTAAGATTTCCCTTTTCCTTATTTCACGAATTGTTTCGAGGACATTTTTATTACGAACGTTTGTCAGTTTCATAGTACCCCGGACAGGTTGTATGATGCAGTCGTTTTTTTACTCTATATTTGCAATAGAACAACCATTCTTATTGAAATTTTCATATTTTATTCTGGAGACAATTTCCAACATGGAAAATAAATATTTTGTCCAAATTTCCAATTTTATGATTTTGACGGGCTTTTTTCAAAAACTCTACACTGTCAATAAAATACAGGTTTTTGCTTAAACAATTGAACTTTTGACGTCATTTCAAAGATTGTCTAGCTATTGGATTTTTGACAGCCTAAAGTCTTTCCAGATGTATTTGATGCCATATTAATTATGGATGATTATTGGTATTCATTTAAGTCATATTCAATAGGCCTAATATTATTACAGTGCATTAGGCCAATGGGTTTTTCCGCCACCATCACTCAGCATGCGGCCCCGTGGCACGTAAATTGTACCATGCTTTTAAAATGTCAGGTCTCCCTGACAACTTCATGATAAAATTTGACACAGCTGTATTAACATCTCTGAAGGATCTAATGCCAAGAATACTTCAAATAGGAGATTCGTAATGTTTTACTTTATTTTGGACTGTATTGAACAGTGACCGGGTTGAACTCGTGTCTGTGGACAAGAAGATTGACCTCCTCTATCTGGGCTCAATCTAGGGAATGCTTCACAAAACGAGGCCCAGAGCAACAAATTTTTATTGGCCTAATGCACTGTAATTATATTGAATATGACTCAAGTAAATAACAATAATCAGCCATTATTATGAATATGGCAACAGATATATCTTGAAAGACTTTAGGCGGCCTGAAATTCCATAGCCAGACAATATTTGAAATGACGTTAAAAGTTCAATTGTTCAAGCAAAAACCTGTATTTTATTGACAGTGTAGTGTTTTTGAAAAAAGCCCGTCAAAATCATAAAATTGGAAATTTTGATAGAATATTTATTTTCCATGTTGGAAATTGTCTCTAGAATAAATCTTGAAAATTTCAATAAAAATTGTTGTTCTATTGCAAATATAGATTAAAAAAACGATTGCATCATACAACCTGTCCGGGGTACTATGCTTCAATAAGAACATCATTTTTTGCGAACAGATAATTCAGAAGACAATAGAATCATCCTACCGTTTACGTAATACTAGTGAGATATTATATTGATGAGACTGTCGTCTTTTGAACGATCGTTCATCACAAACTTGCATATTCCCTTAAACATACTCTGACACACACGTTTATGCTAAAAATGTCATGAAAACTATCTACAGATCGTGAAATAAGGCAAAAGAAACATCATTAAATCTTCGATGTTCCCACATATTGTCACTAATGCCTGGGTCATTGAGTGTTTTGTTCAATATTGTATTTAATTTTAAACAAAATACTCAATCGGCCGGGCACCGTAGTGAAAATCGGAGGAAGTGTGACCAGGGCATAAACGAGTACTTTTCAGTAACTACATGTTGTTTGAAGAGTGCAGTAGTTTAATGTGTGAGAGTTTGTCAATTTCCATCCTGTACATGATAATTACATATTATCCAAATTGAACATTTTCTTACATAATCTAAAACTAATTTTCGATAACAATAACAAATACAACAATATAACAATATATGTGCGCACATGAATGAGAGCCATGAAAATGTCACTTTTGAAGACAACGCAAACGAGAATGAAACATTCCCAAACATTAGAACTGGAGAAAGGAGTGTACAATTTGTTGAAAACGTTCAAAAGAATTACCGTATGTTAAATGATCACATTTTAAGTAAAACTAATATATAAAATACGATGAGTTGATAAATCGAAACAATATACAAATAGAGTCAAGTGGACATTTTAGGCAACTATTTGAAAAATGTAAGGATCTAGTACAACATTTTATAATTCATACTATATATGGCAGCTAATATTTTCTGATATTTGTCAAAATACAGTAATGGCAACTATGACAAATCATTAAAGATATTTTATTCGAATTCCATGATGATGGAACCTGTACATTTATTTCAAATGACGGCTACCGCTTAATCTATTGAAACTGCAACCATACTTCAAGTTAATTACTGGCTCTTATTGGTTACAATTTGTTATTATGCAGCTAGTTAATTATGTTAATTGTAGCAACAATTGGAGTCTGATTGCAGTTTGCATGGAGCTAATTATAAAGTCAATCAACCTGCAAAATGTGCGCCGTGTTATTATTGGTTCTCATCATGTATCTTCTAAAATTAACTTAAAGGCCGCTATCAAGTTCATGGCAATATAGTATTTATAAGTATCTGATAAGAAAGGAATAGAAAAGAGAAGTTTTATTGTTTTCTTTTTGTTTCAGGAATTGCAGGAAACATTTCTCTGAATTCCAATGGGGATAGAAACCAAGGCTACACAGTCAAAAAAATGAAAGACGTCGAATCGGCACAAATAGAGGTTGACATTAAAGTGTCTGTTGTTAAAATCACTCCTTTTAAATGACACTACCATGACATTTTTGAATCTTTACGTATATCAATTAGAACAATTTACAATAGTCACCAGCTTAATTGCATTTCAATCAATGGAACACAAATATTTAGAGGTACTTACAGTTTGTTGATACACGTTTTTTATTACATAATATTATATTATTAATTTGTCTGCCTCATTTAGACGAATGTGTCATGTTTTAATACAATTGTCAAAAAAGAAATATACTAGTATAAATAACGCGGACATTGCTACAGCTTATAATACTCTCATATGAAAAATGTACTTCAAATCCGCTTGTGTTTACTCTGTGCTATACGTGGTGGTATCTTTAATTATTGTAGGTGGTTGGTCATTACTTTAGCATCAAGGGTGTTTATGAACCAGATACAAATGTGTCGATACACTGGCCCGGAGGTAGGAGTGAACAGCCAAGTGATGGGCCTGCGTGTGGGTGGGAGAACGAATTATGCCCAGGTACAAGTATTAAGTAAAAATAAAATTGAAACGGACACATTTTCACACTATATGACGAGAAGGCTTTTTGTTAAAAGGTTGCAGGGTGGATAGGAACGATAATGTCTTAACGTTTTTCCAAAAAAGATATAATTATAAAAGAATGTCACTTGGTACATTTGATGCATGCCCTCGCCTTCTGTACAATAGAATAAGCCAATTCAAAGGAACTGGCATGGACATTTTGGGTAATTGTATACGAAATTCAGTGATAATTGTAAGTAGAGAGCTTTCGCAACGTACAGCGCATCTCGTTTAAAAAAGTCCGTGGTAGGGAATCATAGTGATATTTGGTATCAATATATAAGCACTAGTGCCAAAGGGAAAGGACCAAAAGTTGTAATGGAACTTAGCAAGAAAAAGCAAACTCTAAGTGCATACCAGTCAAGAAAAACAAACCCCATATAGCCCAAAACCATGATCTAAGTGAAAAGAAACAATGTCAAATACCCCCTTCCCCCACCATTCAAGAATCAATATCACAATCCAAGGCCAGAAGACCAAGCGACATTTCATTCATACTGAAGTCATTACAATACATGTTGAAGAAAAAATTAGAAATTGATAGCCAATTGATAGCCAATACTCATAACCTCAAAAATTGTTGTAGATACAAGTACTCATACAAGATAGAGCATTCAGTCTCAAATGATGTGGGATAGATAAAATCCAATCTACAAGTCCATATGCGTTTCAAAGGGTCAACATCCATTCACAAAAGCCGTCGCCAGTTATTTATTAATTATTATCTAATAATTGTCTTGTAATCCTATTATTCCAGAAACAAGCCAAGACCTCATGCAAACGTTGATTATAAGCGTCGTGATCGTCGTATTTTCACTAGTCTTAGTAGGAAGTCTTGTTGTTCTTCTCATATACAGGTCAGTGGTGTCCCGTTCTAATTCTCTTCATTATCTATATTATACAGGGTGGGCCAAAAAACGCCACTTCTTTTTCAAGACGGTCCGCCACCCTATTTGATGATAGATTTTAGTTTTAGTCGCCTTGCTGATATAGCAGTATCAATGGAATGTTAGCCAAAAGAATTTCAACATGTCTTAATTGCCAGCTTTAATTGAGCAATGTTTTAGATTGGGTGCCTTCATACAATCTCCTGGGGACCTTCGCATACCCTAAACTCACTGGGGTTTGCATCAGGGCTATTAGCTTGGCGGTCATCAGGCCATATCAGTTCAGGAACATTTTGCAAATTATGCTTATTTCTCATGGCACACCACATGTTTAAGTGAGACGCTGGTGACATATTTTATTCAAGTAAAAGTGTACAATTCATGATCCATGGCTAGATAACAACTTCAAGTTTCATTTGGTATGCAAATTATGATTTTGTACCAAAAATTAAAAAAATTATAGCATTTTGAAAAAAGTGGCGTTTTTTGGCCCACCCTGTATATGAGATACACTACTCCTCATAAATTTAGAAACCCAATGTTTTCATTGGATAGTATATCAGTGCCTGTCAATGTTTGAATCTTATTTTATTCCGTAATTCCATAAAAAAGCTTTGGCAAGTGGTCCAAAAGGAATTTGTAGTTTGAAATTTTTCTCTACTATCTCACTTTCAGCCTTCTTAATTTCTACATATGAGAAAATAAAAAACATCCTTGACACAAACCTCCTGAGCAAAGAAAACAAAACAAAACAAAGTGTACTTCACTTTTCATGCTTTATAACATTGGCTCAACATAATGTAAAATCAACTCGTAATTCGTAATCAACACACAATCCAATGCCTAATACAATATTGAAGTGATTATACTAAATAGTACTCATGGCATTTAAGCGCTAATTGAGTACCCATTTCAGTAAATATTAGTACTAAATGAGCACTCAAGACACGAGTACACAGGGAGATATGCCGAGTACTAAAATAGTACTCATGGCATTTTAACACTAACTGAGTACTCATTTTAGGAAATATTAGTACTAAATGAGCACTTATGACATTAGTACTTATTTATTGCATGTTTTAGCTCTAAATGAGTACTCATATGATGAGTGGTAAAACAGCAGTAATTTCATTGATTTTTAGCACTAAATTGGTACTCATATCATGAGTGTTAAAATAGTACTAATAAAATTGATTTTCAGCACTAAATGAGTACTAATATCATGGATTAGTACTAAATTAGCACTCGTGACATGAATGCTCATGAGTGCACCTTTGCCAGAGTGCTAATTTAGTACTAATGTTGCACTAATTGAGTAATCAGCATATTTCCCTGTGTACTGGTTTATTACATGTTTTAGTACTAAATGAGTACTCTTGTGATGAGTGATAAAATAGCACCATTTTCATTGATTTTTCATTACTCAATGAGCGCTCATACTATCAGTACTAATTTGTTGCACATGTATCATGAGTGATAAAATAGCACTCAAAATTAAAATGTTGATAGACCTTTTTAATTGATGAAGTAAAATACAGAATACGTAATAAATTACATTTTAGTTATATGAAAACATGGATAAGTATATCATTAAACTTAATTGCAACCAAGCTACATGATTATATAGTGCTTACCATCTTTTAGTAAATGAATAATATTTAAGTACTAAATGAGCAATTAGTACTCAATCATTACTTAAAATATTGTTACTGAAGCGGTACTAAAATAAACCCTTATTTTTCACAAAATTAGTACTAAAATAGCACTCGAGTAGTAATAAATTAGCACTCTTGCAAAAGTGCACTCATAAGCACTCATGTTACGAGTGCTAATTTAGCACTAATTTTGTACTAATTGAGTAAACGGCATATCTCCCTGTGTAATATTGGGACTATTATGGCCAAAAATGAAAATTACCGGTCGACTGTCTTTAAAGATCCTCTTTGAGTAGGTTTCCTTGTCGTCATTTGTTACGCGTGACGCCTTAATTATGAGGTCTTACCCAGACTTTAACATGTCAATATTTTCAGAAACAAAAAAATAATCATAGCTCCGAAAAGACAATTCAAAGGCGAACAATTTGATATAATATAAGCCATATTTATAGGATATCCTATGATTTTGAGGAATATCATTTTTATCTACGAGGTGATATTGATATCTGCACGAGAGAGCAAAGCGAACGAATGCATATATCAATATCACCGAGTAGATTAAAATGATATTCTGAAAAAAAATCATAGGATGTTCTTATTATCCTACACTTACAAGAAGTGTACTAAATGTATAATATCATTGCAAAATGAATTTCATGCCAAATAGAGTCAATTTGGCGGGAAATCAACAAACGGAGTATATCGTCACAATATCCTCCGCATATTAGGTTTTCCGGAGTATATCGTCACGATATCCTCCGCCCGGAGTATATCGTTACGATATCCTCCGGTTATTCATTTTCCCAATAAATATCAAATTTATTTTTTAATGTTATTATACTTTTAGTACACTAAGTGTAGGATAATATAGGAATATCCTATGGTTTTGAAAAAATATCTTTTATATCCATGAGTGGATATTGATATCTTCATGAGTGAGCACAGCGAATGAGTGAAGATAGTTGTATCCATGAGTGGATATAATGGATATTTTTGAAAAACCATAGGATTGTCCGTTTATCCCATGGGAAATCATCATCAGCGAAAAAAGTTAAAAAACATAATATGAGAAAAAATGTGAAAAAATAATTGAAAAAAATTGTGAAAAAATGTTGAAAATGTTTTGTGAAATTTTGAAATTTTTTAAAAATATTTTTTAAAATAATTAAAAAATGTAAAAAATGTTTTTTTTGAAAAAATTCGAAACCTTCGAATATCAATTTTTAAGACGTGATATTCGATAGTTTAAAAGTGATATTCGATGGTTTGTGAATTTTTTGCTAAGATATGATATCTTGATCCACATATCAAATATATCTATATCATTGCAACCATGGGATAAACATATATGTATCCCACGATTAATGTGTTATCTGTACAATAACAGCTATTGATATTTCTGATATTATTGAAATCCGTGTGATATTTTCCGGAAAATCGTTTATCAAACTCATATGCGTGTGATATCATTTATCTCACGCATATCCGTGTGATATCACATCTGCATTTTGCGCCACAATATTGTTGGAAATTAGGTCAGATAATTTATTCTCTTTTGAGAAAATTGGTCCGTTAATTTATTCTCTTTAAGTTTCATTGGTGTATTGAATTACGATTGTGTATATACTTTGATAAGAAGGCTGCTAACTAACGATTAAAAATGGTATTTATGACGAACAATATCATGTTATTTACTTTTAATGGTTAAAATAAAATGTTTCAAATATTCAATTGATATTCTAATTTCTAGTTTATATTGTCTGCCAATGTCCTGGAAATTGGATCAGAACATCACAAGGTGATTGTAATCATGGGATAAACCCAATATCACATAATTTCTCGTGATATCATTTTATCACCTCGTAGATATCAAATATCAACACTCATTCGCTTCGCTCACTCGTGTTGATATTTGCTATCAACTCGGCGATAAAAATGATATCACTCAAAATGATGTGATATTCTGTGTATATATTTAGAATAAACAGTACTTAGCAGTTATGTCCCTATCATTGAATATATGCCTAAGGTCTGTCACCAATATAGCCCGAGCTTGCGAGGGTTATATTACGACAGACCGAAGGCATATATTCAATGATGCGGACACAACTGTTGTATTACATACTTTTATATCATGGCTACGTTATATCAATGACGCCACGTGTCTGTGTGCGAGTGAAATTAGGAAGAAATGAAACATGACGTCCCGATGACGTCATAAGATTGTCATGGTAAAAGGTTTGGCGGCTATACAGGAATATATAGCCGACCTTCAGCTCCATTGACTTCAATACAAATGCTTCGCTGGGTATGTAATACAAGGGAATAAAATGGATGAAATGAGTCGAAATTATCACGTGGAATTATCACGGCGTACTGAATATGGTTCTATAAATCTGTTTAAAGGGGCAACAAGGATCGGACTGTAGAGAGAAAAATCAAAAAGTTGGCTTAACATCTTCTTTGACATACCCATTTTCTTAAAATGTATGAATAAACTATCAATTTCGGCAGTAAGAAGTATAAATTAAGTTCAAAGCTTCTATAAAGGGAGTACCACTTATAGTTTTTTAACAAAATTCACATTGAATGAACTAAATAATTCTGAAATTTCAAGGCAAAATATGCAAAATTGACCGAGTTATTCAACTTTCTTACGGTCCTGTTTTTTTGGACACCCTGTTGCATAGATAAATTTCAGGATAGGTTATTGGCCAAAACACTGGCACTTTACATCAGTAAAAACCCGTAACATGAATTTTACTTATTTCAAATTAATACCAAACGTTTCAACTATATGTTGATATGAAAAACTGTCCCATTCCTGTTTTTGATTATGTATAGTTTCTAATATAAAAGGTACCTCCACTAGCGTTGTAACTTGGAACCTATGAAATTCAATATGGAAAAGAGTAACATTTGGGTACCCTACTATCACACCAAACTAGGACAAAGTACTAACGTCGAGCTGGACATACTACGAACGAAACCGTCGTACTTCAATCCAACTAGGGACGTTTTACAACGACTTGAACTGTCTGAGGACGTATTGAAAACGAGGAAGAACTAATTGCAAACGGGTTTAAACTGATTAAGAACGTATTACAGACTGCTTATGAATGAGTTAGCACAAATATAGCTATCACACCAACCAAGTTGCCACTGCGTTCTTCAAAACTGGTTTTAAACTGTGTGCGAACGGAATGAACATAGCTGCAACTTTCTAAGGACTATTTACGAACTTCATGAACGTTCTCAGACGGGAAGGTGATTTTAGAATTTTGAATTGATTCAAAATTCGATGGCGACCATACCGTTCTGTAATCAGGTCATGATGACCTTCTAGACCAAGGACGCGTTATACGATGTTGCACACCGACGTGGTGCGACATGAATGAACTGCGAATGAGATGGACGTATTCACTCTTAAAAATGAATTACTTGAGTATTTCCCAAGTATAAAAATTACTTAAAGTTAAAAACTTAGTTTTACTTCATTTTACTTAGGTTTAACTTATATTGTAATTTTGAGTTTTTTAATTGCTTAATTATGTAAATGAGTATTACAATTACTACCCCTACTATCACACCAAACTAGTTCTCACTACGTTCTCGAAAACGGGCTTCAACTGTGTACGAACGGGGTACGAACGGACTGGACCTACTAAGAACCGTTTGGGATCTATTTACAAACTGCATCGAACCTACTCGAACGGGTAGGTCCTCTAGAACTTAGACAATGCTCAAAATGTTCTCGTGGTCGTCACGTTCTACAATTAGAACGAGTGACAACGTACTAAGGACGAGCTGGACGTACTACGAACGGAACCGTCGTAGTTCAATCCTACTAGGGACGTTTTAACAACGAGTTGAACTGTCTGAGGACGTGTTGAAAACGAGGTAGAACTAATTTCAAACGGGTTTAAACTGATTAAGAACGTATTTAACACTGCTTATGAACGAGTTAGCAAGAATATAGCTATCACACTAAACAAGTTGCCACTGCGTTCTTCAAAACTGGTTTTAAACTGTGTGCGAACGGAATGAACGTAGCTGCAACTTTCTAAGGTCTATTTACGAACTTTATGAACGTTCTCAGACGGGAATGTGATTTTAGAATTTTGAATCGATTCAAAATTCGATGGCGACCATTCCGTTCTCTCATCAGGTCATGTTGACCTTCTAGACTAAGGGACGCGTTCTACGACGTTGCACACCGACGTGGTGCGACCTGAACGAACTGCGAACGAGATGGACGTATTGAAGACTGTTCAAGAACGAAGAAGCTAATTATTTCAGACATATTTCCCGACCACAGCCAGATTGAGCCCGTTTTACGACGTTTTCGTAGGACTGGCAAGAACGGGTAAGAACTAGTTTGGTGTGATAGGGGGGTACAGTAAGTATTTCAATTTCTCTCCTTGCATTAGTAAATTCACCATAAATGAATTACTTAAAACTTACTAAAAAATTATTCAGTAGTTCAAGATTATTTAAGTAATTTTTGACTTAAAATGAGTAGTACAATTTCTCAATATAAGGAAATCCAAGTAATAATTTTTAAGAGTGTTGAAGACTGTTTATTAACGAAGTAGCTAATTATTTTATACATATTTCCCCACCACAGCCAGATTGAGCCCGTTTTACGACGTTTTCGTAGGACTGGCAAGAACGGGTAAGAACTAGTTTGGTGTGATAGGGGGGTTAAGAGTCAGGGAGACCAGAAAACGTCACATCTCATTTGATAAGCATACACATAGAGAATTATTTTCAGAAAATTGAAATGGAGTCGTGATATCGCCGAGATGAGATGGAAATGTAACTATGACGACGTGAAGATGCATGCAAGTGGCACTGAAAGTCGCATGTCACGTGTGAGTAAAACTATTAGTCAGGTTAGATTAAATGCATTTGGGAGAATTTGAACGTTTATATGGATACTTTGTTTCACTCAAGGATGTTTCCTGAACCCTTCCTCCAAACGCAGGCTTTCAGATATCATCCATTACATTCCTTATTTCGCGGGAAGAAACTTCATTCGAAACAAGGAATGTAAAGAAAGTACCTTCGTTCGGGTTTTAGATATCATCCATTACATTCCTTACTTCGCGGGAAGAAACTTCATTCGAAATAAGGAATGTAAAGAAAGTACCTTCGTTCGGGTTTTAGATATCATCCATTACATTCCTTACTTCGCAGGAAGAAACTTCATTCGAAATAAGGAATGTAAAGAAAGTACCTTCGTTCGGGTTTCAGATAGCATCCATTACATTCCTTACTTCGAAGGAAGAAACTTCATTCGAAATAAGGAATGTAAAGAAAGTACCTTCGTTCGGGTTTTAGATACCATACATTACATTCCTTACTTCGCGGGAAGAAACTTCATTCGAAATAAGGAATGTAAAGAAAGTACCTTCGTTCGGGTTTTAGATATCATCCATTACATTCCTTTCTTCGAAGGAAGAAACTTCATTCGAAATAAGGAATGTAAAGAAAGTACCTTCGTTCGGATGATGTCCTGAACCAAGATGCTAATGATGGACATTTACTTCTGATTTATATTATCATAATGTGACGTATGCACCCGGGCGTATGCACCATATCTACGTGTTTCTGCATCATTTCATTTCTCTGCAAAGCAGAGTTGTTCCGAATATCAGAGAGGTGTTTCTTTGAGTTTATGAAATAAGAAATACTCTAAACTGTGTTTTGGGGCAAACACGACTTTTTGGTATGAGATCCAATGGAGAAATGCCACGCCCATTTTTTAAAGATTGACACCTTGCCTTTAAAGTTCTGCTCGCTGAGATTCCTGAAAGCTATATATCATGAGGGTGGCAACGCGTATAGAATATTTTCCTTTGCTACATAGTCGGGAAATATATTATAAAACCGCCATTTTATTCAGAAAGATTAGGTGGGTGTTTAGTTTTATTTTGGTCAACATTTTTAGTACTTCCCTATCTGCAAATACGCTCATCATTCTCCCGACATACGGGGGTAGCATTCAATGGTTACAAATTGACATTCAAATCTCCATTGTTTCGATCAAGTGGAGTTGAAAATCTTTTGTTCAAAATCACAAGATCTCTTTGGTTAACTCCATATTCTAGAAAAACCAGATGAATGGCTGTCAATTTTTAACATTTTGGAATGATTCCCCGATGTGCTGGAAACGTGATGAGCCAGGTAATAAAACTCTATAAAACGTCCACATACTAAAGTATTTAGTTGAGGCTGTTGTTTATTGTCTGCTCCTGATAATTTTGGTTCAAAATTAGAATGTTGCGGTTTACGTAATCATGGACTTTGTGAATGTTTGTTTGCTCCGTTACTTGAGATACCTACCTTATTTTAGATATCGCTTAATACAAAAGGATCGTATGGTAGAGGTGACGATGTTAGATTTACCGAGATGGGTCTATATAAGGTAATAATATATTTATGAACAAATATGGCTAGCTCAAACACTACAATGGGTCAAAACAGGAAATTCGTTCATTGATTATGTCACGTAAGCGTCTGAATCGTTTTGTCCTTTGCAATCTTTAACTTTTTTTATTTGCTTGACAGGGTGCAACTGTAGCTATAAAGAGACTGTTAAGTGAAAATGTCATACTGAATGAGAAATACATGTCAGAGATGAAACAGGCAAGTGCATATTAAGGTATCGTTGAGGAGTCGACATATGATGGAAACATTAACACGAAATAGAGATGTCTTATTAAGGTTAAGTTCCCAGTCCATGTATTAATTATCATTTCGTTCTCACGTCAACATTTTTCACATATCTTGGCCAGCCATAAATACAGTAGTAAGGCCAAAATGGCCCCACCTCCTGCAATGAGCCTTCGACATTTTCAAGACGTGTGAAGCAAATTCTTCCCATGGTAGAAATCGGGATATCATACGAAAATTGAGTTTTAAGGTTTTACCGGAGATAAACTTTCATGAGGACTACACTCTGTTAAGCATGATAAAAGGCAAGAAGTTTAGTTAGAAATAAAAGAGTTATCTCATGAATGGGACCCTTACATAGCTCCTAAAAGGTAGAAGACACTAAATGGTGTAACACTATAAGCTGAATTTTGTCCACATAGAGCATGTGCACAATACTAAAGACATGTAAAATTGAACTGTCAAAAGAACTGAAATATACTTACCAGCTCGCCTCTTCCGGAAGTTATGATACGTTATGGTGTAACTACGGTAATTAATTTTAAAATATTGAAAAAATCACAAAATACAAGTTCTGAGGTATATATCGCCATTTTTAAGCGAATTAGCCCATACTATGACTATATATTCGCACCCCCATATACAGATATATATAAACTTCATCTTCACAATAAATTGAGCTTCTTTCAAATTTCCATTTTTTGAGATAAGGGCCATTTTCTTACAATTCAAGCCGTAAAAATAGTTGGAAAGTGCTTCCCAGTTGAGGTTAGTGGCTTTTATACTTACATTAATGTATGGAGCACTTAAAATGTACTTAGAATCGTATAAATAGCTCTATTCTGTGAGATTTATTTTTGTTTTTATTTTTATATTTTTCTCACCTCATAATTGAAGAGCTCCGCTGTTGATTTACATTCAGTTACACGTATTTCCTTGAAAATTCGCCATGATTGGAACAAATGATGGTTGGTTTATGTTTTATTCATTTAGTTTGTATTTGAATCTAGCTACTTAAACACAAAACATGTCTTCATGTTATGCTAAAGAGCAAAGATCGCGAATTCTAGGTGAAGCCAATTATTTTGCACAAGTCATATCCTGATTGCATCATAGTTACTTTGTACTAGTCACATCCTGATTGCATCAGCCAATTCACGTGATTTACAGTTTACACATGGTTTCAATATACATGTTATACTACTTCCGGGTAGGGTAGTGTTTTTTATACTTTAAAAACGAAGCCATTTCGATCAGTTTTTATAATCCTTGGTAGAACTGAGAGGTATTACAATACATATTTAAATTAATACACATGAGTGTATTTGATGAACTCTCAAAAAATAAAACCCACAATAATATCTTTTTTATTCACAATTTCATGTCATTGTTTCTAACAAGTCACCTCTTTCTCTCTTTTCTTTATTTTTGTCAACAGTCAAAATCGGAATTTAAAACTTGGTTTCTTTACAAGCTCTGCTTCTGTAAATACTAAATAACATGAAAAATGTTAAACCTTACATCCTACACTTATTTGATATGAAATAGGCGATCATTGAAATCATTTTTGTGCTGTTAAATGTGGATCTTTTAATTTTTTAGTCAAACTTGATCGCTGATCTCTGTCGATGTGACGTCACGCATTAAGTATGCACGCATGGGCAGTACAATACATAAGGCAATATGGCGTCTTAGGCCTATACATGAGCCAGAATGGAGGTCTGCAAGTTGAAATGAATATGTTTGTTTATGCATCAATCGATCACACATATAATCCAGACAATCTTTCAAATCATATACTTAACATTGTAATGGATTTATTTATTTTGTGAGCTAACGTTCCCTTTAATTTTCATTGGTGTTGCAATGATTTTACCTAAAATGAGTCCCTGTCTTTGCATAGTGATATTTAAAAATCGAGAAGCAAAACCTATGTTGAATATACTGTGCATTGATGAAGTTTATATATAGCCTAGGGGAACTCAAAAATATTGTTATTATATCGGCAAATTCGCTCGAAAATGGTTGTACACCCTAGAAATTGAATGTTGTTGATTTTTTCAATATTTTAAAATTAATTACCGTAGTTACACCATAACGTATCATAACTTCCGGTAGAGGCGAGCTGGTGAGTAATTTCTATTATTTTGACAGTTCAATTTTACATGTCTTTAGTATTGTGCACATGCTCTATGTGGACAAAATTCAGCTTATAGTGTTACACCATTTAGTGTCTTCTACCTTTTAGGAGCCATGTAAGGGTCCCATTCATGAGATAACTCTTTTATTTCTAACTAAACTTCTTGCCTTTTATCATGCTTAACAGAGTGTATGTTAGAACGCACGCGTAGAAGATACAAATCCATAGGACCATTTGTGTTGCTCTTGTTTTCTATAAATATTGTAGAACTTCTTATACACTGTGTTACAACGTTTTAGTTCTTCTAACATCTCATGAATGAATTTCTGTCATTGATGCACGTACGAGATACGATATTGTTGATTTTCTTAATTATACTGTATACTGAAACATGTTTGTGATAAAGATATCGTGGAGAATCTGCCTACAAACTAAATAAGGAAATAAGGAAAAAAGAAAAATCGTAACTTCGAGGTTCTGCCAGTTTGGAATCGAAACGACCCATTTGATGAGTGCAGTATCAGTGTATATGGCGACCATTTCAAATATAAGGCTCTATTAACGTATACATATCATTGCAGATATATGATTTATCCCATAATAACATTGCGAAGATCATTGGGGTCTGCGTAGATGGGAAAGATAAATGTATCCTAACGGAGTATTGCGCCAAGGGAAGTTTGCAGGTAGAGTCATTAATAATCAGAGACATGAAAGAAATATGGGAACGTGTAACGTGTTGCGCTCGCAAACTGACTGCACGTACCAGTCAATATTACCTGTTCAATTTTAGTGTTTCATTATCAAAATGGGTCTTTGGGAATGATTTTACTCATGTTTACTGATTACTATGTATAGATTCTAGGTTTTAACGTTGGGTGAGTTTCTTTAAAAAAACTTGTTCATCATCCAAGTTTATAATACGTTCTAAATGTATGTACACTCCCCTTCATAAGTTTGGCAACCTTAGGTCCCCCATTGAACTAGTTAAAGCCTCTTTAGGTTTGAATTTTTATTTACTTATTTACTTTCCAATACCTCCAAATTTTCTAAATTTGTTTCCGCACTCACAATAAGTCGAAAATTGATGATAAATCTGATGAATTTTTGAAATTCGACATTCCCATGTTAACCAATGGGAAATGGTACATGTAGGTTCGCCGCAAGTCATATGGCAGAATATCCATCTATCCGAGGCCTTGCAAAAAATACGAGTTAGGCAGGAAATTGAATTTGCTAACTTTATTTCACAAAAATTGATATGTTTCTTCAGGTTCAACAAAGTTATAGGGCTTTAAAGTCAAAATTGTTTTTCAAAAAACCTCTCCCATTGAAATAACACAGAAGAAAAATTATTTTCAAAAATGACTTTCAAGCGCTGTAAGTTAAGTATTCATCAAATAAACTAAGCACTTAGTGTACAAAAAAGTTAGACATTCCAATTTTCTATATGAAAATATTCTTTGCTGAATTTTTTAATGAAAAGATATCCTGATTTCTGATTTGCCCCGAACCCTCCATTTCCCATTGGTTAACATGGCAATGACGATTTTCCAAAATTCATCAAATTTATCATAAATTTTCGACCTAATTGAAAATGATTGAAAAAATTGGAGGCATTGGAAATAAAGTCAAGTTACGTTTCTATCAATATTATAAGTTATTTCATCGCCGGTTAAGTAAAAAAAAATTCAAACGTAAAGAGGCTTTAACACGTAGTTCAATGGGGAAGCTAAGGTTGCCAAACTTATGAAGGGGAGTGTATCAAGAGAGTTGGATTTACAACAACATATCCCTGTGTATCGCAATATATGAAAACATAAAACGCTGGTGAAGCTGAGAAGGACGAAAATGTTGAAGTCGTACAGACGTATGCGCGCACAACATGTTCACGTTCACAATTTATGTTCACGTTCACAATTTATGTTCACGTTCACAATTTATATTCATGTTTGCGATTGATGCTGTAAAAACAAAGGTTTCTGTTACCTTTGAAGAACTCGTGGCATCTAGGAGAAACTCAAAATGCAATAATATTCTAATACCATTAACAGAATTAGTCCTACTAATTCATCCAGCTTACAACTTAGCTATATTCTCAAATTTCCACCATACATTCATCCCACTAGATTCGTTTAAAGGGGCAACAAAGGGAAGGGTGAGGTATGGGTTAAGTTTCAGGAAGTTTTCTTTTTTATTGATTTTCTAAATGTCTTAAAGCACTGGCCTTGTTTCATTTAAAGGAGTGGTATCGATATGGTGAATTTGAACACGCGTTTCTCTTAAACCAGTCATCAAAACATTCTGAAAATCTTACACATCGTCAATTTAATGGTCATCTTTTGGATGGTAACATTATAATGTGAACTATATATTTGTATATATTTCTCAATAGTCAGACAGTCACACATCAGACACTTCTTTTGTTCTTGGTATCATATGTTCGGATTGAAATGAAACATCTATCCGAACCTCATTGAAACAAAACGACATAAACACAACGTGTTTAGGTCTCTCAATATTGTAATTGTACAAATGAAAGTTTGGTCGGTTTTAAAAAAGTATCTTGTTCATGAAATAAAAGGTTTATCTTAATTTTTATCTATTTTTGGGGGGTTTTGTTTTATTTTTTTGCATGCTTTTTATTAAATCAACCAAAATTTCCTTTGTATAACTGGGTAAAGACGATAATTGATATTTTCAAATATAGTCAAATTCTGTTAGTCTACCAAAGCGTGCGCCGTGTATGTTGATATTAACGACATTTATTTTGTGCTATTTTAATGTCAACACAACTGGCTATCATGTCCATGCAATATTTACTGAAAATAATACTTATTAATTCTTAAAAACAGCTTTAACGCTTAACAACATGACAAATAATGTATCTTGTGGTCCAATAATTTCCAACTTGTTAATAAAGTATGTTTGTAACCAGCTCTCAAAGGGATTTGCTTGATATTTCATACTCATTATAAATAGAACACGACTTATTATGTTCATATGATTTGTATCCTCCAACACATACTCATCACATTCAATTTACTAAGAAACTAAATATAATTGAGAACTTTTTTGACAATCATTTAAATACTACATTGGATTAGTTTCATTTTCCAAAATAATCATTTGAAATCGTATTGGTGCATAGCTGAAATCTGACTGTTTAGAAAATATAAGATATTGAACAGCAAGACCTAAAGTTACCACAAAAACAACAATATTTCGTTTGATGTTTTCGTTGTCTGTCATTTAAAAAGCTAACCCATAAGGGCACCACCTGGCGAAGCTTTCAACAAATTATCCATCAACAACCTATCAACAACATTTATTGAAGCATTGTGTTGGAGGATACAAATCATATGGACACAATGAGATATATTCTGTTTTATGAGCATGAAATATCAAACAACCCCCTTTCAAGAGCAACTTTCAAGAGCTGGTTGCAAACACACTTTATTAACAAGTTAGAAATTATCGAACCACACGATACGTTATTTTATATGTTGTCTGAGTTCATATTAGCAAATTTTGAGTTTTGAGCTATTTTTAAGAATTGATAAGCAAGACTTTCAGTATATATCGCGTGGTCATGATAGCCCGTTGTATTGATGTTAAAATAGCACACATTAAATATCGTTGCTATTAACACACATGGCGCAGGATTTGACCGAATTTGACTATATTTGAGAATATCAATTATCGTAAATTTGCCCAGCTATACTATTTAGAGGTCTAAGAAAATGTTATATATGCCATTTTATTCCAACAAGGTTCGGAAAGACATTTTTATTTCATTCTCAAGAATTGGTAGAAGGGAACAAAAACAATTGCACTAAAAACATTAAATTAGTTATATGAAACATATATAAATAATTTTTGCATTAAATTGTTGCCAATCAGTCAACATTACATAAAGGACCGTGTTTTTACAGAATGTTTTCAATAATTGGTTAAAGAGAAAAACATTGTTGAATTCAGTTAACCATATCGATACCTATCCTTTCTTGATTATTATATTAAGCCAGGAATCTTCTATTGAAAAAGTTAGTTATGTTATGTTATGTTACACTCCCCTCCATATGTTTGGCAACCTTAGCTCCCTCATTGAACTACGTATTAAAGCCTCTTTACCTTTCAATTTTTATTTACTTAACCTGCGATAAAAAAAATACTTATACTATTGATGGGAACGTAATTTGACTTTATTTCAAATGCCTCATAACTTTCTCAATTTTTTTCCTCAACTACAATAAGTCGAAAATTGATGATAAAGATGAATTTTTGAAAATCGACACTTGGAGGGGAGTGTATGTTGTTATGTTATGTTATATTATGAGGTTATATAATGGTTCATTCTGTATATCGTGTTTATACTCGAGTGAGTATATAATATATTCACAAGTGAGCGTAGCGAACGAGTGAATATATTATATTCTCACGAGAGTATAAAATGCACGATATACAGAATGAACCATTATATAATCTTATTATGCCACTCTAAGTTCAATTACAGTTGATTCAAACACAATCATAACAATTATAAAAACCATAAAAATATCCCATAGCCAACTCAGTAATGCCGATGTTGATCTCGATCCATTTATAACGTCACTTGATTCTAGCAAATCATGTGGGAACCATTTATGACGTCACTTGATTCTAGGAAATCATGTGAAACAAAACATACACCTCGTTCTTCGGTCAATATTCATTAGTTCCCAGAATGCACTTCTACAGTGGTATACGCTGGAGTGTATACGGAGGAGTTGTATACGGTAACGATATACCACTCTCCACTGTATATCGTTGTTATAGACCCATGTTATACAACTGTAATCGGACTTAGAGTGGTATAATATGTCGTTATGTTATGTTATATTATGTTATGTTATGTTTGTTATGTTATATTATGCTATGTTATGTTATGTTTGTTATGTTATATTATGTTATGTTATATTATGCTATGTTATGTTATATTATGTTATGTCATGTTTGTTATAATGTTATGTATATGTAACACCCCGGTCACATTTGTCGCACGGCGGCCGCAAGTCGACCGCAGATCAATTAAATCGGTGAATTTCTGGGCCGAGCTTAGAAAAACTACGCTTGCCTTGCGGCCTCCGTACGGCGTATGCAGATTTTTACAGGCCGCAGGGAAGGCGTAGAAATTATAACTCGGAGTTATAATATTTGTTGATTTCTGAGCTCCCCGTAGAAATCAACTGGCTCAACAAGATTGAATCATTATTTGTCAATGTTTCACGATCACTTTTCATTTGATATTACATCCTAGCACTATGAATAACATTTATAAATTGTCCCGATGTAAATAAAATGAAAAAAGTATTATTTATCAACAGAAAAAAATTCACCGTGCGGCTGCCGTGGGAAATGTGACTGCAAAAGTATGAGAGCGCAGAAATTCCACGGCGAGCGAAAAAATGTTTCTGGCCGCAGAAATGATAGACCGCAAGGTCGCCGTAGGAAATGTGACTGGGGTGTTATGTTATATTATGTTATGTTATGTTATGCTATATTATGTTATACTATGTTATGTTTTTTTGTTATGTTATGTTATGTTATATTATATTATGTAATGTTATGTTATGTTATATTATGTTATGTTTTTTTGTTATGTCATGTTATGTTATATTATGTTATGTTATGTTATGTTATATTATGTTATGTTATATTATGTTATGTTATGTTATATTATGTTATGTTTTTTGTTATGTTATGTTATGTTATATTATACTATGTTATGTTATGTTATATTATGTTATGTTATGTTATGTTATATTATGTTATGTTATATTATGTTATGTTTTTTTGTTATGTTATGTTATGTTATGTTATATTATGTTATGTTTTTTTGTTATGTTATGTTATATTATGTTATGTTTTTTTGTTATGTTATGTTATATTATGTAATGTTATATTATGTTATGTTTTTTTTGTTATGTCATGTTATGTTATATTATGTTATGTTATATTATGTTATGTTATGTTATATTATGTTATGTTATATTATGTTATATTTTTTGTTATGTTATGTTATATTATACTATGTTATGTTATGTTATGTTATGTTATGTTATGTTATGTTATGTTATGTTATGTTATGTTATGTTATGTTATACTATGTTATGTTATATTATGTAATGTTTTTTTGTTATGTTATGTTATATTATAATATGTTATGTTATGTTATGTTATATTATGTTATGTTATACAAGTATTATGTTATGTTATATTATGTTAATATGTTATGTTATGTTAAATATCTTTATTGCCTCCATAATATATTGGAGAGTACATAATTATAATAAAGGACAATAGATATATAAATACAATATGTACAATATTACGGCTTATATAACCAGCAGACTGGAAGTCATCTTCCCCAAGGTTGATATATAACATTTACCTGTCTTACCTTAACCTAACCCCCCTATCACACCAAACTAGTTCTTACCCGTTCTTGCCAGTCCTACGAAAACGTCGTAAAACGGGCTCAATCTGGCTGTGGTCGGGAAATATGTCTAAAATAATTAGCTACTTCGTTCATAAACATTCTTCAATACGTCCATCTCATTCACAGTTCGTTCAGGTCGCACCACGTCGGTGTGCAACGTCGTATAACGCGTCCCTTCGTCTAGAAGGTCATCATGACCTGATCACAGAACGGTATGGTCGCCATCGAATTTTGAATCGATTCAAAATTCTAAATCACATTCCCCGTCCGGGAAAGTTCATGAAGTTCGTAAACAGACCGTAGAACGTTGTAGCTACGTTCATTCAGTTCGCACACAGTTTAAAACCGATTCGGCAACGTTTTGACGATCACCAGAAAATTTTGAGCATGCTTTAAGTTCTGGAGGACCTCCTCGTTCTAGTAGTTTCATGAAGTTTGTAAACAGATCCCATCAAACGGTTCTTAGTGGGTTCTTAGTACGTCAAATCCGTTCGTGCACAGTTTAAGCCCGTTTTCGAGAACGTAGTGAGAACAAGTTTGGTGTGATAGTAGGGTTACCTGTTTTATTACCTCTTTAAGTTATGTAATTCAAAGTGTATATCACTTGTGGATGATTTATATTACGTAAGTCGATCCAACTAGTTTCTAATTACGATTTATTGTAGTTTAATAGACACTAAGATAATTTGTTTTCTTAGGATGTTCTTTGGAATGAAGATTTGAAACTTGACTCGACGTTCAAATTCTCACTAATGCTGGATGTAATTGAGGTAAAGATGTTATATATGATGTTTCCTTCCGTCACGATGTAGCTATTAAGAAAGATACCCACCTTATCGTAAATGTAAACATGTATCTTGCCAGCGACACGTCATAACCTTAGTTAAGGACAATGAAGACGAGAGACAAACTCACAATGTTTACAATATTCTTTGCTCATAGCGTTTATGTCATGTTCATCATATATTTTTAATAGTCCCGACAGTTCTGCCTTCTTTTCACAGAAATCGGCAATACTTTTGGAAAACATAAGTCATCGCTTTCAATAGTTTAGTTTCCATATTGCTTTTGAAATCTCGCTAAATCTCGTTTTTCGTGAGATTTTAAGAGACTTGCATATTAGACCTCTAATGACTTACATTACCTTCTTTTAAACGGCATATTTGAATTCAGTGGGATATTTTCTCCTATAATAGCTTTGATTTACACAGTTATGTAATTTGAATAATTTTCTATGACAATTTAAAAAAACTTGAGCCAAATCTCCATAGATGCAATGCTAAAATTATTTAAAACCTTGGATTATTTGTATGTCAATCAACATTTGCATGTTTAATCACAACATGTACATAAACAGGATCATCCTGTGGTATATCATTCAAGTTTTATACAGATTCAACTAACACACTTTGATAAATCATGAAATTAAGCCACTTTTCCAAGATTTTAGCATGTAAGTGAATGGAACTCTAGCCCAAGTTAAAAGCTAAATAAAAGATGGCAGCACTAGATTTCATTGATTTTTCTGCTATTTAAAAACTATCCCATTCTAATTACCTTGGACATTTAATTGATCACGATCACCCATCTCAATTTTTTAGAAAATAAAAGTAATATTGGCATGTTTGCTGGAAAAATACTGAAAACATTTGACACTATCAATTTTATTCTGCAAATATAGGCTATCAAAGAGAAACACAAGTGAATATAATCCTGAAATAAGAAAAACTAGACCGTGGGCTATTTCAAGCTGTAATATATCAGATAAAGAAAGCTTTATTGAACATTCGAAAGAAAAAGCGTGATGACCCAACGTAATATACTTCAATACATTAGACTAATAGGATTATTTAATAAATCACAGGTTTAGGCCGGTCAAAACTAGTTATATATTTAACGTCTCGTGATGATCCCTTTCAGTCCACGTTAACTTTAATCGAGGCAATACTGAAAGTTATATCTAAGGACTTCAAAATGTTGTTTGTTGCTAATTATTTGCCCCATTTTTGAGTGAAAGGACGTTAAATATATTTTACATTGTAATGGCCTTACAAAGCATCTATTTACCTACGAGTACACCTTGAAGATCAGTTTGGGGGAGGGGGTTAATGATTGTTTCGTTATGTTAGCGAAGAGTATTGATTTGTTAAATATTCAAGCAAAAGACAGTTGCAAATCGACATTTTAAGATTTCGTTAGATGGGGAGGGGTCAAACCATAACATATATATATGTATACATACATGCATACATACATTCATACATGCATACCACATTGTTTGATTGCTTTGCGTAAGGCTGATTTAATTGATTTAATTATAATTATCTACTCTACGCAGACAACCTTATTGCTTTGCAAAAATAAGTATAATTGCGCTTTTCAGGGACTAAGATATCTTCAAAACAGCTTTCGAAAATGCCATGGGAATCTAAAAAGCTCCAACTGCCTTGTTGATACTAGATTTGTTGTTAAATTATCGGACTTTGGTTTGGTGGACTGGCGCAAGAAGCAAGAGGTGAAGAATGAAGGTAACCCCACTGGTTGTGTGTTCAGTTGAAAAAGAAGCCGTGATCTAGAAATACCCAGTTTACTGAGTTGCGTTGATTCTGATGCGATTTTTCTAAATTTTCTTACATATTCGTCTTATTATTTCCCAGCAAACCAAGATTTGATACTCACATGTCCTACATTACGGATGAACATGTCTTACTTAGTATATGCTGTATATTGAGAAATACAATTTCAATTTAAAACTGGTCCTCCGTACTTAAATCTTAAAAGAACACAACCACCATATAAAGGACCTTATACACCCTCCATTGGGATCTCCCCATGGGAAAAAAATAATTCATCTGATTTTTCAAAATGAGTATTCTGCTTCAATTATTACATTTATATGCACACTAGTTATCTTGTTGACCTATATTCAGCACTGTATTGATGTATAGGCCACTTATTAGGGTCATAATTCAATCATGAAGTGTAGAGGCATAGATTCCAAACCAGGAAGTATTTTTTGTGTCTGTCAAAATCCATTTACATCCTACGCATCCCTGCATCTTATCCAAATATGTTACTACATAATGAAATATAATAGTATAATCTTTGGTTTTACAAACTTGTATGATATTTGATAAGTGTAAAAGTTGTTTTTGGAGCATTTTTCTATAGCCATTTTGTAGGGAAAAAATGATGAAAAATGTACAATCTTTTAATTTTAAGTATGACCTGAATCGATTGCAAACTTCATATTTGCACATTTGATGAGATAAACCATTTGTGTCGTATTGTGAAATTATTAAGTTTGCAGTCGATTCAGGTCATAGTGTATTTTTGGTATTTCTGTGATAATCAATGGAAACCAATGGCCTCTATTGGGATCTGCTGATATCCTCATGTTAAGTCAATGGTGCACAGCCCCATGTAAGTCAATACAACCTTACTGAACGAAATGATCCCTATCTCAGCTTATGTGTGTCCGAGCACTTTAATATTTTCCAAAGTATTATATGACATTTTATTCTTCATGTAACACCTACGAATGATTCATTTTGACCATAGGGATATTTGCCAATAATTGCACCTTGTCCTTTGCATTGGCTCTTATGTGCCGCTATGTCGCTATTTATTGGCCTATGATAATATTACTCTAGGAGCTAGCAAACATTTATAAGACATCTCGAGTACAAAAGGTTTGAGGCCTGTAATTAGTAGATGTGGGTCTAACATCCCCAAAAAGGCAACTCTTAAGTGACAAATTTGGGGCTACCACCAGGGGGCACTTTTTGAAATGCCCCTAAAATTAGTTTTAAATGACATCTCAAGTACATCAATGAAACCTTTGTCAAAATGTTCCTTCGGACCCTCTGAAACATTATGAGTCCTTAAGAGTAGCCAATTTTGGGGTTTAACCCATTTCTGAGTGAGTTAAAGGTCACCATGGATACAGCCACACACAATCAAAATGCTGTATCAGAGCCTTTTGAACTTGAATATATTTGATATTCTGATATATCCATAAAATATGTAAGAAGACCTTTCTAACAAGTCATAATACATCAATATATGACAACTGAATCCAGAGATATTGAACTTTTTGCGTCAATTTTGATCCGAAAATGTACACTTTTAAGCCTCGTCTAATTTGTATTTGTAGCTTCAGGCAAAATGTTACAGCTTTAACAGCTCAAAATAGTATTCCAAGAACATTTCCAAGGTTTGGATGATATTGTAATTCAATTTTTATAATGATGAATCACTATTTTGTAATTTAAATATGACGTTATAGTGCCCTACCCCTTCAAAAAGAGGAAAGCAGGCATAGTCAATGTAATCATTTTGCAGCATTAAGTTGGAAACATGTAGCACTAGAAAGTAAATCAATGCATCCAAAGCATCTTCATATGTTGTTTGACATTGTAATTTATCTTTTACTAGAATATAGGACTCATACACATATAACATATATAACTTTTCAATATAGTACATGTATTATAATAGAATACTAATGTATCATGCAATTCAGACAAAGGCATATTATAAACATTATACAACTATTAATATTTTTCATCTGAGTAACAAGATTTAAATTGTGTCCCATGTCATTTGAGGCATATACCTTAAATGTTGAAATCTGTATTTCAATCAATGTGAACTTAACATAGTGAAGGCCGTTTCCAGTATGCTTGTGCGATCTTAATAAAATCATTCTGTTCTTCTCTTCTCTGATGCTTTATGGCTTAATGAGGACCGGGAATGAGAACTGCAATATGGTCAGATGATGAGAACTAAGGGGCCCTCTTCAACAATTCGTTCCGTCAATATTTTACAAATATTTAATTACTCAGATGTGAGTAGGTAGTTACCAGTTTCGCCACTAGGTGGGTAATTTGGGGAAAATAACATAGCAGGGTATTACAAAGTTCTCGTAAACTTGAATATTCATTAGTTTTAGTGGTTCACTTTTCATATTACCCTTATGTGTCTGATAGTTATACAAATGTCCAGTAAAATAAAATATTATCTGCCCAACACAAGAAAATATATTTTTGAATTTTAAATCTTTAATGTCGTATAGATATATTTCTACTCGCATTTAGTCTATTCTATTGAGGTGAATACCTGTCTTTATTCCACCCTTAGTAGTGTTATAGGTAAATAACACGCAGGAATATAATTGATATGTGACCTGAGCAGATGATATATATATATCACCCGCTCATCTCATCTACAACATCAAAAATTCAGGGGGTAGATACTGAGCCAGGGGACTTGGCTTTTATTCCTCATAATCTCAGTTTAAAGGTGCAACAATTAGTGCAATTCAACAATCATGAACCAGTGTCAAAATATATTGAAGTTTGGATATTTCATCAAGACTTACTTATATTTTTATTACCTACAAAGAAACCCCCTGGATGAACACTATTTGAAGTCTATTTCAGCTGATATTCCTCTTGAAACATAGTAGATCTTAAAAATCTATAAGTGGGACTCCCTTTATAGAATCATTGAATTGAATTTACACTTCTTAATGCTGAAATTGATAGTTTATCCATACATTTTACAAGAAAATAGGTATGCCAAAGAAGGTGTTAAGCCAAATGTTGACCTGATAGATCAAAAAAGTAACAAATTTTGAATTTTCTCTCTACAGGCCTTGTTGCCCCTTTAAATGCTCCATTTTTGATACAGGGTATATCCCTAGGTGAATACATTATATCAACCCTCGGTCCCCCCTGTCCCTTGGGTAGATATATTGTATTTCCCTCAGATATACCCTGTATCAAAAACCTTCGATTCCATTAAATAACCTTTATATCTTTCACAAGTGATATTCCACGAAGCCCGAAGGGCTAATGGAATATCATTTTGTGAAAGTGCCACATTTATTCACCTCAATAGAATTAAATATTTGTTTTACTATTCACTGTTATATTCCTCACTCACATTCCTTGAATAATAACTGATGTCTAATCAATCACAACAATGTACTCCTGGGCTATATAAAATTGAAATAATACGGGACCAAGTCGTGACTGGTGAATATCATTTGATATTTGATGCTAGTCTTGGACTTCCGTTGATTTCGCCTATTATTTCCAGTACATGGACCAATCAGAGAGTGAAGAATCTGACAGTGAAATAATAAAATACAAATACTTAATTCTATTGAGGTGAATATTTGTGCCTCTTTCACAAATAATATTCCAGAAATCCCGAAGGGCTAGTCGAATATCATCTTGTAAAAGTGTCACAGGTATTCACTGAAAATAGAATTAAATATTTGTTTTATTATTCACTAATATATTCCTCACTTACATTAATGGAACAACAAACTATTGATGTCTGATAAACCATAACAATGTTATCCCAGGACTACATTAACTTGAAATTACACGGAACAAAGTCGTGACTAGTGAATATCATTTAATATTTAACGGATGTCACATGACTTCCTTTGAATATCGCTTGTTATCCCATGGTTGCAAGGATATAGATCGAATATCACATGAAGATATACTTGATATGTGGATCAAGATATCATATTTTAGCAAAAAATTCACAAACCATCGAATATCACTTTTAAACTATCGAATATCACGTCTTAAAAAGTGATATTCGATGGTTTGAAAAGTGATATTCGATAGTTTTAAGTGATATTCGATGGTTTCGAATTTTTTCAAAAAAATTTCTTTTTACATTCTTTAATTATTTTCAAAAATAATTTTAAAAAATGAAAAATTTCAAAAAACATTTTTTTCACAATTTTTTTCAATTATTTTTCCAAATTTTCTCTCAAATTTTATTTTTCAACTTTTTTCGCTGATGATGATTTCCCATGGGATAAACGGACAATCCTATGCTTTTTCAAAAATATCAATTATATCCACTCATGGATACAAATATCTTCACTCATTCGCTGCGCTCACTCATGAAGATATCAATATCCACTCGTGGATATAAATGATATTTTTTCAAAACCATAGGATATTCCTATATTATTTTTAGTCACGTGTGGGACATGGACTTATCAGAGAGTGAGAAATATGTTATTTTTTCGTCATGTATATTACATAGACAAATCAGAGAGTGAGGATGTCTTATAAACATTGTTATAATTATAATATTTAGACTGCATGATTACATAATATTTCACTGATTTCATTTTAAGAGAGGCACTATATCAACAACTTACATATAAAATGTGAAGAATCCAATATTCTAGTAAGACATAAATTACAATGTAAAGCAACATATGAAGATGCTTTGGATGCATTGATTCACTTTCTAGTGCTACATGTTTCCAACTTAATGCTGCAAAATGATTACATCGACTATGCCTGCTTTCCTCTATTTTGAAGGGGTAGGGCACTATAACGTCATATTTAAATTACAAAATAGTGATTCAGCATTATATAGTTGTATTACAATATTACACAAACCTTGGAAATGTTCTTGGAATACTATTTTGAGCTGTTTAAGCTGTCAACTTTTGCCTGAAGCTACAAATGCAAATTAGACGAAA